GTTATCGGAACGATTTTTTAGTTAACATATTATTGTGCAACAGGCCGATCTCGAGTAATGCGCAACGGCTAAAATTAGAGACGTCCAAACAAACAAAGTAATTAATTATTGTTCTAGGCTGTGGTGTATTGATGTTAATATCAATATGCTGACATTGTTTATGCCGACACGCGCACAATGCGGACCAGTCGATTATGTTGTCCGCGGAAACGTGTAGAATTTCAATAGAACACACGTTGTGTACACAACGCCCCGACGTTTGACACTGATACTGTACCCTCGATGTGGCGATTTAATAGCACAAGGGGTGTTTATTATACACAAACGTATTGTAAACACATCCCTTGTGTTGTTTGTGCGCGTTATGTCATCACTACCTGCCGCCCGTTTTGTAAGCGCGAGGGCCTTTTTTCGGTCCGAAATTTTACGACTTGTTTGGAGCCAAAATAAAAATATCTTCATATACCCGGCCCTTACGGTACTCGACACCGCAAAAATGCTTCCGCCAAAGACAGGTAGATTGCCGTTTGATATATTCCGCCATACCTCGACTCGCACCGCTATAAAAACCATCTCCTCTGCATTGCACTATTCCCTGAGATATCAAATTTTGACTTTTTATTGTACACCGCAGTACCAATCCGATGGATATGAAACTAGTATGAATTTATTATCGTTTAGGCGACCACTCGGTGCGATTCATCTGTCCTTTGGAAATTTCGGTACAGGTCGCCGGACCATTATGGTCCGACGCGCACATATTGTTGAGATGGAACACGGTGGTGCATCGGATACCGTTAAAACCGAAATTGTTTTTTAGAACGTGAAGTTTTGCCACGATCACTACCAAGGTGATGTATTACACTCATTACCCGCAGGGCCACATATCCCGTATGAAATTTGCTGTGAAATAATCACATAACCCTTCGGAAGGAGTCGTATGTCATAAATATACCACACGATGTTCACAATATCTGTACGGCGTACGAGAACGCGTTACAGAACCCATCACGGTCCTCTGGTCTGGTGAATTATTACTAATTGAAAACAATATCGGCGCAAAGGGTAGAGACGGGATTATTTTTATATAAATACACTTATAATAATAATAAAACACTCTACCGGACTCGTCGTATATCTCCATGACCCGGCGGACCACCTCCCCGCCCTCGTATTTATCTGTGCACCGCATACGACACAAACGGCACACACCTTACCGTAATTTGTCCGTACACGAGACCATCGTATTGATGTCTATTACCACAATGGGCGACATTCATAACGCGACCATTTTCATCATTCGGTTAAACGCGGCCCGTCCTCGTATTAAATCGCGCGTTAAAATTGACTGAACAAAACAGTTCCGGAATCTTTATCTGCAATGACCAACGCGCCATGTGACCCTCCCGTTGAAAATTTCGGACACGCTTCCGCTTTCTACCAATTTAATCAAATGGAATTAACTTTTACCGCGAGCACGTGTAGCACACTCCGATCGGGTGGTAAGTTCATACTTGGAACTCGCAGTGTAATTTATTCAAAAATTATCTGGTCATTTTAACTGTCTCGCCATTAGACAACAATGTGATAGTTGCATTTTACAAGCGACCAAGTTACTTGATGTAACTTACTACATGTGGTCAATATAACATATTATATCTAGTTGAAAAAAAGAGTCTTCTCTTAATTTTATCTCTAGAAAATGATTAAATTTTTTTAAAAGCTTTTTAATGATAAAACATGACGGATAATAGTTTTATTTTGTACTTTATGACAATAATCATATTTTAGTCGGTAGCTCCAAATTTAATTTACTTTTTCGACAGGATACAGTGCTGTTAACTTCTTGCGTTTTTTGTTGTTCTGGGGTGTTTGGGAAAACGGGGATTAGTTCATGAAAGGTAATTTTGAACGATTTCAAACTAAATTTTATACATTTGTTGAAAAAGATTATTTTATTTTAATGAAATCTATTTTTATTTTTTGACTTTGTCCGAACTTGCAGAAATCTACTTGATAGGCTCATAACTTTAAAATTACATTTTTGGCGATTGTTCCTCTTTACTTTAACACCATAGAGTTATTAAGCAGTACTTTATAGTTTTGTTCCAACATAAATTTATTTAATTTTTTTTTATAAAAATCTTACAGAATTTTTATTTCAATAATTTACGTGATAATCGTGTTGATTATTATTTTCCTAGAAAACTAAATTACATTGTACTAAGTTATTTTTAAAGCGGTATATTTGTTTTTTAACTGAACCAAATCAAAAATATCATATATTTACTGATGGAAACTTTCTTTATTTAGCGCGACAACTATGGGAGTCTTTAACACATTTTTCTTACACTTTCAAAAAAATGTCCGGATTTAACAAAAATGTACTAAAAGTTATTTATGCATATAATGTGAGGGAGATTTTCGGGAAATACGTTATATGTGTGGATTATGTTGAAATTTCACTACTTGTGTATAAAAGTAACGTGTATATTTAAAATATAATACCAATGTTTGGCAATTTTTCTTATTTTCTAAAAATTTTTATTTTAAATAAGTTTTTCTAAATAAACTTTCTTTAAACTAAATGTACACTACTAATTGATTAATTGAAGAAAACATTTTATTTTTTTCTGATAAAAATAGTTATTTAAAAAATTAACAATAACACCCTAAAAAAATGTTCTATTATGTATGTAATATTTTATTTAGACATTGCAACCATAAAAGAAAATTATAAATCAAATAAAGGTAAACTATGATTAAAATGCAAACGGAACAATTAAATAAAAAAAAAACTAATTTTAATATGCTTCTCATGCAAAAATTTTCTTAGGAATTAAAAAAAAAACGCATTACTTTTTTTTACCCTTTTTCTGAGAATGTCAGAGCAAATTGCTATGATACAACTAGGTCTTATTAATATTTAATATACTATAATTATAATATATTATGAATAACCACTGGCACAATGTTATTTGTCAGTCGCTAAGACGACATTTGTGCAAACATTGCCATCTAAAATACAGAGTGTAGTTATTTAAAATGTTATTAGTCTATAAAATGCATATTGCTTATAGTTAAATTTTTATGTGTAACGCAAGGCGTATGAATTCTTTAACGATAGACTAATAGACGTCTGTGTTTATTTTGTATGAATTTTCTAAAGCAAATTACCTGTATTTTTTTCAATTTTGAATAGTAGGATTTTTAGGACTAGGTCGGTTTTTAAATCGGTAAGATTAGAGAATTTACACCTCTCAAAGGAAAATGATTTTACCCTATCTTTGCGGCCCTTTTATTTTTCATGACAAAAACATAAGACTTTCCTTTAAAACGATAGTTTAGGTATCGAATGTTTACCGTAGTACTCGGAATTTTTATTTTTTATTAAATGATATATTTCTACTGTTAATACCATCGATTTCCATAGTGATTGACGATAGGAAAAATATGGTAAATGTTGAAAAATTTTCATGTTTTTTAGATGTTAAAAATGTGTGTTATAAAATACTAAATTACAAATTATCAGACTTGGGACTTCTCTACTCGTCAGATATTTTGATTCTTTCTATTAGAACTGTTTTTTTTTTTTTGAAATTTCCAAATTATATTTTCAAAACTGTTAAATATTTAACTTTCGATTAATCAAAAGGTTAACAATGATTATTAGTATCAATTCATTATCCATCGAATTTGTTGTTAGGCATTTACAAAATGCTAATTACATTTCGGTTCGAACGTTGTTGATTTCGTTTGGCACCCATTTGTTTTTTGACATTTAAATGTACGCGATAGCCGCCGAATATAGACGTATTTATCAGATTGGAAATCAATCCGCATTCCACTGTGGTGTTTGTCGGAATCGCGTCCAAGTGTAACCGTGCAACTTTTGTGTAGTTTTTTCGGTATGACAAACAACAATATTAATATACTCTGCTTACACCTAGGGCCGTAGGTTGTTAATGATACGCACCTATCCAAGTGAGAAACTCATTTTGAACGAAATCAACTTGTGTGTATGACAAAGAGAGTAATTACAAGTATAACCTCAGCGTTGTTGTTATTTTTGTCAAAGCGGCTAATCTGTTTATTTGGCAACATTAAACGCACTCCGGGGCTATAATACTATTGTAGTAATGGCATTATCGTCCAATGGGATCGCGCGGTTGCCCGGCACGTCCTTCGGTGTGCCGTCAGTCTGCTCAGTCAAAGTCAACTTTCTACATTATGCGACTCGTCCGCGGGGCACGCGAACGGCAACAAGTGTACAAACATACACCGTTCGTATTCAATAATAATGTAATCTATTGCGGTAGAGGAGTCGGCGAACGCGCAGATGTGAAATAATGCGACACCGCAATTGTTGGCTTATCTGTACTTGGTCGGACATCAGTCAGTGCAATCGACTGGTATCTTTTCAAGACGATAAGCAATTTTATAACCGCGAAACGCGACTGATATAATTATTTATTGCAGTGCTCCTCGATAACGACTCTCGATCAGTCTCCGAGGTCGAGCTATCGACGGATTGGGCGGTTGGTTTCGGGGGGGTGATGTTCTAAAATGGGTGTCCAACGAAGAGGTCGACGTTGTACTGATATTTATATTAAAAAAAAACCCCAATCACAAGTCCCATGTGACACTTACAAACGGAGAGTATCACAACGTATTTTTTCTTTTCGTTTGTTTGGAGTTTGCTTTGTAAACATAAGTGTTGAATATCAAAAAAAAAAAAATATCATATTATCAATGGCAGACGGAGAATTGGCGTGCAAACATTAAATATTGATTTTGGATACGTCGACGTGTGCGTGCGCCGCTATCTTATCTAATGAATAAATTGTAGTTTTCTTTATAATAATTTTTTCCTAACACATGTTTCACGTGCAATCGGAATGTGCAAAATCGTGTTACAAAATTGGAAAATTTTCTATTTTAGAACGAGTCATTTTAGTGGTAACGAAATGATATTTTATGTGCAACAATTTACGCGTTACACTATTTTTTATGAGTTGCCATGTCGGCACCGGCTCGTTTGTAATTACTAATTATTGTTTTGTACATTTAAAGCGATTCCGAATTTCACCGAAAATAAAAACACCCAAGTGCCATTAACGCGTGTATCGGTCTCTACGCGTTTCAAGGTCAAAGAATCATTAGGCGAAATAATTTCGATTGGGTAAGCTTTGACGCCGAACGCCATTAGCCGTAACCAGTATGACGAGAAATTGAGAAATCCAGTGATTTGGGAAACGGGCGAATTCGCAAATAGCACGACGAAAAACATACAAAAATAGACTTCTACGCACTTTTATGATGTGTTCTTGTGGTAAAGCCCAATTATTTTGTTTTGATTTCTGTTAATTGATATTTTACACGCTACGGCGGTGTGCTAATCGCGTTCGGTAGTATTCAATGAGCGAACGAGAAGAAACGTTTAAGACTCGATTAGCACCGTCGACGGCCAGTTGATTTGGGTCGTTTTAAAATGGACGAATCGATCACTGGCTCCCGTGAAATTTTTATGCGATCCGTGTAGTCGACTATTATCGTGTTGACATATCACAATAAATGTTTTATTCTAATAATGTCTGTCGGCTAAAATAACAACGTCGTTAATGCCATTTCCTAATTGACATTTGCCGTGTAACATAACCTTGAGATCAGGGACTTTGCAACTGCTGCAAGTTATTGTGCGCTCACTACGGAGCAGCACTAATTATTTCACATGGTAATCTAAATAACCATTATATATTTATATATATTTTTTAGCCGTTTCCCAACTAGATTTTTACTGGTTCGCTCGGTTTTAAGTGTGTGGCCAAGGTTTCAACTTGGCGCTGGAATGTCGACCGTAGTTTTCAATGGTATTTTTAGCAAACGACAACTAGCAATTACCAAAATGTACATAACATCATCGCGCGCGTTTCGGGCCAAAGTCGGCGGCGATACGCACGTTTGTCAACGTGGAATTTTGTTTTGATCTCCTTTTGGGCTACACGGTGCGGGTCGTGAACGCCTCGTGCGAACTCCACGACGTTACTACGTTTGTAGTACTCGAGTTTATTTTTACTACACAACAAACCTCTGGTGAATAGCCGTGAGGTACGAAATGAAGAAAACATATTTCCTAACCTCTTCTTAAAATATAACTCAAAATTATTATTTAAGCGGCTTCGATGTGATGTTCGGCCGCTCGTTCCTTTAATGTGCAATTAATTCGCATTGAACTGCCCTAGGCGTGCGCAACATTAGAGTTATGCACACTGTCCGTGTTGTGATTAACTTTCTGCGGTAAATAGAAAACATATTTTTGTCTTTGTAGTAGTCGTTAATAGCGATTCGTTCGAAAATAGCTATTGCACAATATCGTTTTCTAATTAATGGAATTTTATTTTGCTCACCGATCGTGTAAGGTCAGACAGTCGGATTGAGAAAAAAACAACTATGAATTGTCAAATTCAAATTCTAATCTGCGATTTAATATTGATTCCAGATTAATTCTCTTCATATATTAATACTCGTTTATCAATTTTAAATTTGCCTCTTTGGATAGTACGTAATCATCAGATAGGCTGCCATTGTCTAATGAAGTCAGTAAATTAAATTAAAGAAAAATAATACCGAGTTAATGATTAATATTGTAAAACTGATAATCATTTAAGTGGAGTATTTAATGGTTTCGTTCGTATCAATCTAGTCTTGATTTTTATGGGATGATAAACTGTGTAATGTTCGTTACGTTTTGTTGTCAACTATTGACAATAACAACCGATGACGATTCGGTTAGATAAATCATCGTAATCGCCGTTACATAAAATTATTTTTCGTTTAAAGTTTTCGCCTAATTAACAGAGAAAAAACTCGTGTAGAATTCAAAAAGGGTTTATAGTTATCCGGCTCGTATACATCATAAATGTCGTACAGCGAGACGAGAGACTTGGCATACTGTACATGTGTCGTATGACTTATCCATACGATTTATATTATCCGAGTTTTTTAATACTCAAAGTTCAAGTTTATATTTTGTCTGTTCGGTTAGTATTTATAAATACGTCCGTATGAACAGTTCTTACGATCTATAGAAAGTTCTTCTTTATAGGTTTTCGGATATAAGTTTGTAGTGTTGGACAAAAATTCTGTAAAACTCCGAGTCATTTACATTTTAATTGCAATGCGACGTATCGAGTTGCGATTATCGACCTTAAATGTAATGGCCAGTGCTTAAGTGTAACGACGTTCATGAGGAATAGCGATTTCAGCAATAGGAAAGTCGTACACTGGCGGCCAATTGCGTTTCGAAAATGCATAATAACATTATTGCAGCGGCCGCCGCCCGTGAAACGCTGAGCGTGGGCGTGGACTGCACGAGGCGCGAAAAGTCAAAGAACTCGACGCGCGCCGCCGCCCGTGTTGTTTTTTCGCTTGGGCTTCTAAAAATAGCGCACCGCCACCGACCCGGCCGCCATCGTTTCGCGTTTGTGTGCGCCAGCGCGCCTCGTGTATCTGTGTGTATCGCACTGATCGGCGCATACACGTGGTGCGGCGGTTCCAGGCGCGCCCGCAAAGCGTGGGCCCCGCCGCCGCGATGCCTCTGACCCCACATGCGTGTATGATATTTTGTTATTGTTATTTATAAAGCGGCAACGGTGTCCCGTCCGCACAATTTCCGCATCTCCGCCGCGCAACCGACCCGATAGTCGGTTTCCCGGTACGCCACGTTTATTATTCGACTATTATTAGTGCTTCGCCCGTCGCTTCCTCCCCCGCCGTCAACAATTACACATTTCGGCCGTTTAATACACTACAACAATAATCCCATCTCTTAGCGGTACTGCCGACTTTATAGACACAGTTGTTTGCTTTTTTACCCATTACTCGCCAACGATCACAAATAATAATCACACATACGGCCGTTGTCGTCCGGATGTCTGTTGGAAACTTGAAGCAATTTCTGTTTTTTAACCGACAGCTCGAATCATTTTTTCGTTGTAGTTATAACTAAAGAATATCATCACTTCGCGTTGATGTGTACTATTCCTGAAATCCGTAATTACAATGGAACCTTTGCACCGAGATAAGTTATCAAACTGTGTAACGAGAAAAAATCCAACTTCACAATTTCTCAATGGACTACAATAGTTATGTGTCAGAATTTGCTTTAATTTTCTTCTGTTATCTTTAAATAGAATTGTTGTTTGTTGATTGTGCGGTAAAACTGCCGAGCTAATGATAATTGCGATTTCACATGTAATGGATCAACTACTTTATTTGGCCGCTATACCAAAATTGTTTTTTAGATAATAATTTAATTATTTCCCATTTGGTATTTTTTAAGAGTTTTTCCACTGTTATTTCTGTTAGTTAACAAAATGTGCGTCGAAATGTTATTTTGTATCATTTAATTGTTAGCAACCTATGTTTTAGCTTCGACGACACGAGATAATGCATTTGATGTGTACTTTCATTACTTTTTTGCTCGGATAAGAACGCCGGTATTATGACGGTGTCAGTGTAAAAAACGGAGACTTAAACGAAACAACTTGGCGTATCAAAAGCAGTCCTAAAATCATTAATATTACTTTAATAGAATACATTTACCTAATAATCGATTGTAAAATGTGTTTACCTAAGAATATTTCCACTAGACCTTATACAAACAACTTACTATCTGTATCAAATCTGGACGAACGCGTAAATAACATTAAATTCAGAATCCGAAATTGACATATTTATCGCAATTATGATGGAATGGTCATACTGTTTATCAGTGTTAATGTAAATCTTGGACGGCTGGTAAAGAAAATAGTATTACCACGTCGACAAAAATAAATGCCAAGTAAATCAGAAAAAATAGCCACCGCCCGTAAACGATCTGGCGGGTTGTGTGGCCGAGGCAGACAAAGCAGAAGGGTTGAAGAAAATCTCACTAGCTCGTCCTTATGGCCGTGCGTGGGTTGCTTATAAACGACTAAAACGTGACCGCAGTAAAACTTGCGTTGGATTTAAACTCGTTAAATAAAAAAGATCACGCGATATATTATTTCACTAAAGCCACGGAAGTGATGTTCCACAGTCTTCGAGAATATCTATTTGGACAACTGCGATAGAATATCCCTAGAGACGAACGGCTGTCGCTGAAATCGATCGGTATGGTAAAAGCGAACAGGTCTATTTGCGGAACTCGATGGTTCTGAACGTCGAAAGAGGAAACGTTAATCGTGTGTCCGGTCTAAATTCAGGGCGATTGGCAAATACATTGCCGTCTATCGCAACTTCCGATATAGTTTGGTCGGAAATGCAATGACTGGGCGTGCGGTGTAATGAAATGGTAGACACCGGTCACACTAAACGATAGATGCACTGCTGCGAATCGGATATTCCGGGTTATTTCGATAGGGCCCACACACAGGAATAATACAATAATAATAATAATAATTTAATAATGGGCGACCGTAAGTGTAATGATTATTGTTTCGATAATACAATAGTACGAAAAACAGTTGGATTGCAATAAGTGGAGATAACCCGCAAAATAAATTCTTTCCCTACCGAAAACCAGATAACGTTATCATGGTCTGTTAAGTTAATGTACGCGCTTAATTATATTTTAGAATGTTTTCATAGCTAAATATAATTTAGCCATTTATGAACATCAGATCCGAACAATAACCACAGCATTAAATTGTGAAGAAAATTACTGCGAATTAGGTGCAAGTCATGTTTTATAGTAATATTAATTTCATGGACTGAAAATTAAATGTTTTCGAGGAGTTCGTGTTAAAATTTAATTATTAAATTTCGCACTACACGCAGTGTGGTCGGCCAATATTGTATAGCAAAACTGATTTGAAAAGTCTCCGGTACTCTACAAATTACTTCAACTCTGAAATTTAAACTCCTTGACAATAGAATATGTAGAGATTGTGTTGAACTCGATAGGATTACCAATTGGGCATTTGACTTGGATCGTACTCGATAAAAACTATGTAATTGTGTTTCAACGTACTACTTATTTTTCGTCTCTTCGCCAGGGAAAATAAAAAGAGCAAATACTGGAATGACAATGAAAAAATACACACATACACATAGAAAGCCATAAAAAACAGGATACTCAAACATAATATAATAAACACACACATGCATATGCACATGCGAGGACGTGCGTAAAACACATAGCGCTAGTTAAAGAGACTTTAATTTTTGGGAGTGGGAGTGCATCGGCAGAGAGAGCGCGTGCACAAGTCGTACGGTGAAAGAAAGAGATAACTCGACTCACGGTGTATATCCGTATAAATAATAATAATAATAATATCAGCTACGTAAGAGCCCATTACTGAATATTATGCGGACTTGGTAGATGGCAAAGGGCGAGGTGGAGGGAGAAAAAAAGTGCGTGAGTGGTGCGTGTGTGTGTGTGTGTGTGCAGTGGCGGCCAACTCGTTATTTTTTTTGGGAGAGAGTGAGATGGCGACGCGACGGCCGCGGTGGGAGTGAAAGAGAGAGAGTACGCCGATCGGAGTGCAGCAAATTGGTATACGCGGCGCGCGCGTCGAGCCGACCAACAGAGTGTTGTAGAGTTGCATTATTCGGGCGCACCCTGTCGCCGGCGTTACAACCACCACCGACCGTCGCCACCGTCGCAGCAACCGAACGCACACGCACGTCGCACACTCAACCGCACCGACGTCCCGACACAGTCGGCCCCGAGTCGAAAACGCGACACGAGTTGCGCGCTTATTTTATCATCGTTCGACTTCTATTATTTATTTATTATTTTTTAATTATTGTCGGTTTTTTTTTGGAAATTTTCTTCTTGGAACTATTACCTTTACGTCGTACGTTTTTTATATTATTTAAATTACGTTATATGCCGTCTGTGTGCACAGAACGGAATTAAGAAAAAACTGTTGTGTTTTGTTTATTTGTTGTTTTCTTTTTTCAACTAAAAATTTTTTTTTTTTCGTGTCCCGGCGAAATTCATTCGGTGATAGTACACAGACAACTGCACACATCGTAAGAGAAAACAATTTGTATTCGTTCCGGTCAACCGGGAAATGCATCGTTCCGGTATGTACTACCAGTTGCTACTGATTACTATTACTATTATTATTATTATTATTATTATTATTATTGTTGTCATTTATCACGTAGTTAACGTTCAGCCGCTGTACGCCAACAGTTCAATATATTTAATAACTGGCTAATTTCCAATGCGGGTTCATTCGGCAAAATTCACTTCAATTGCGCATTATTAAAAATTATACGGGACACAGGGGATGTTGCGCGTGTGAAATATCTGAGAAAAAATTAATATTCGCCGGTATGCAAATTTAAACCGGTTAACCCCTAAACGTCTCGACGGCCGCGTTTTACCCTTTGCGGGTCGAAAATTTCTCCCATGTCCCATATGAGAACCGCCGTTTTTTTTTCAACAGATGGTCTGCAACGGTCTCGTTTAAAATTCAGCACAAACTCCGGTTGTCGATAAAATAAGAACCGCTAAAACTTCCCTGGTTGGGGGGGGGGGCACCGATTATTTTCACCGGCGAACTTGTTGTTTCGTCAGACTGGTTGGTAAAAGAGCAATCAAATAATTCAGTCCGAATATATGGTAGTTCGAGGAAATTAGCAAAACCGTCGCTAACTATATAGTACACCTGTCAAGTCTAGTTGACCGTTCGCACCTGTGTTTCTAAGAAAAAAGCCTCGTTTATAGTAATTTTTGTGGTTGTTTGTTTACGCAGTCGAATTTCCCTAGAGTCAAACAGTAATTGTTTTCTAACGGCAATGTATTTGTATGATTTAGTGCTCTTTGTGAAACGGTTTTGACGGAGTGTACACTTAGAGTATGATTATTGGCCATGTTGTGTTAGTTGTGTGTGTTTCGGGGGAGTAATTGTTTTTGCGTTATTAGCGATGGCTAACGAAAAGGTGTGTCACCCTCAACCCCTCCGCACCCAAGTTGTAATTTTTCCACCGTTCCCGTCCGCCGCCACCGGTAAGTTAACCGTGCGCACTTCCTATTTCCCATCGTTGTGCATTCTCTTTTTTTTTTTATTTCGTGTTCATTTGCCGCCGGTCCGTTACAAAGAGTTAACGGCGAGCGAATAATAATAATAATTTCGCGTTTGTACAGATGAAAAACTGGAAAAGCGATTGAAAAATGTGTAATTTGATGTGCAAGTATTCTCCGGCGGCCGGTCGTTGGTGATGCGATAAATTATTATTGGCAAAAAACAAACTCCAGAAACGACCGCGTTGATAGTCATTACTATTATCGGCTTATCTTAAATGTTATTGTTTTCTCCGTCGTATGTTGACAATCTGTTCAATGTGCGCGTGTTTAGCGACAGGAGCTGATAACGATGAAATGGCGATTGTCGTGCGCGGCAGTGTACTTTACTGTTTAAACAATTAATTTTCACAATTAACAATATTAGATAGTTGAGATTAAAACACACACCGATGTAACGCAAAACAAATGGACGCGGGCGTGAGCAGTTCCATAGTCCACCGCCACTGTCGTTTGCGTTCACTGCTATTGTTTATCATTGTAGTAATGGCCTGTGGCTTAAAATAGCTAAAAACTAGTATTTTGGCCGTTGCGTAACGACCGGCGCGTACACTTTTCAGGGTCCTCCGGTCCCATGTAAATAATAATAACACACTCGACCGTCTACTTAAACGACCTGTCCGGTGTTGAGTTTCTCGTTTTTCGACTAAATAACTGTTTGGCCGACACATAGTGCGTAAAAAAATCGCTTGTACCGTATTATTTTAAACTTTTCCCTCCTTTCGACGACAGAGTTCTCTTTGCTTCACGACGTGTGCCGCCCTTAGGGTGTGTCCGTCGTGCAGCGATGGTATGTGTTTTTTGGTTCTAAATTTACACGCCCGAGTAGATTCTGTTGGCCTGTGTTGGTATCTCTATCCTTACAGATCGCAGGAGTAGCCGGAACGATTTCCAAAAGTGTAATGGTCATTGCGAATATCCTCTCGTCTAGCCCGTTGTTCGGTTTGGTTAGCTCGATTACTATTAATCTAGACCGTATCGTCGGTAAACACCGGGAAAAAGGGCAGCTCATTTGTGTGTATTAGGTGTGGAAATCTTGGAATGTGTTTTTAAGCGTTAGAGGTAAAAACATAAAAACACGTCTGAAGATCTGACGACTGGCCGTAACGATCTGAGGATTTATCGTCTGGGCTATGGCCTTTTCATGGTTTATTTAAATAAAGTAAACACAGCCAAGTGAGTACACAGGTACGGTTTTTATATCATTATGATTATCATGTTATTATAGTATGCGTTAGAGACGACTTTGATTTATGTTTACTTTTTGGCAAGGGTTTAATCAAAAGAAATGGTGGTGATCTCCCAGACGGGCTGAGTGATCGGCGGGGGGTGGTGGTTGACGTGAGAGAGCAGGTAGTCCCGTAGTAGTATTTGGTAGTAGAGAGAACACGAAGAAAGATACCCCGACGGATAATTCGCCACCCAGACGATTGTCGTGTTTCGCAATTTCTTATTTTTTTCCCTACCTACTTAACAACGTGAAAAATAGTTACCGCCGGGCGAGGACGGGGGTGGGGTGGGTGTAGTCCGTCTGGTATCCAACAAAAAATACTGTGCGTGTCCCGTTCGAGGGTAGTAGTTGTGTTGTTGTGTCTGGGGCTGATTCGCGCGCTATGCCGTTATTGTATACATAAAAAAAAAAAATTAACGTTCCTTTTTATGCTGGTTTCTGTCCACGACTCGTGTGCGTTTGTATTATACAGACCGTTTCAGTTACCCAAATCCCATCGGGTCATGTTTTTGGTTTCTATGTTATTAGTTCTGAAAACACTTTATGGAAAGGGTTAAGCGGTGGCGACGTATGACCACTACGCTGTTGTTAATATATTAATATCAAAATATGCTCTTATAATCTTCTTAAAGCCGTTGTGCTCTTCCGTCGATCATATTTTTATCGATTTCACTTCCAAGTGGTTTTCTCCTACGGTTCTGTTTTTTTTTTATTAACGACTGGGCGGGATAACGACGCGCTCTGAGACCGAGCAAGATTAAACCATTCGCAAAGTCATTGTGCCGAAGTAAACATTATTCTTTTTCAAAAAAAATTCAATCAAAACGTTAACTTGGTCCGTTGTGTTATTACCCCGTAACAATTGGGGGTGGATAAAGCAGTAGGTTCACACGGGGAAGACAAAACGTTGTCATGGTCTGTCGTGTATAAAGGCTTTTTGTCATAACGACATTAACAGTGAGACACAGGTGTCTTCTGTTTTTCATGTGAATCTTACCTAAGCTGTCGTTATTATCTTACAAAATTGCGCGTTTGTTATTGTAGACGGACTTCCGGACAAAGGTTTTTGAATTTCTGTTGCGTCCGCTCGTTAGATGTTGTGTTACGGTTAGCAGCAGCATAGTAATATAGCAAATTACCATTTTGATATCGCGGCTATGTCTAGACGGTCTAATTTTAAAGTCATTTGCGGAACATCAAATTGGTCAAACGGCGAAATAATGATGACCTCGTAATCGGAAAAACACTAAAGTTGATTTCCAGATAAAAAAAATCAAGCAAATAAAACCAGCGCGATAATATTCAATAATCACTTTGGTGTATAATTTAAAACGGGAAATAACTTTGGATCTAATTTAATATTGGTAATTATCGTTTTCAGAACTATTGCATTGAGTTGGATATCATCCCGTTGTGTGTGTGTGTTTACCCGTCATGACTAACAATCATTTAAACGCGGTTGCCGGACAGGACCAACAGTACTGTCTGCGGTGGAACAACCACCAAACGAACTTGACCAATGTTTTCGTACAGTTGTTTCAGTCTGAGGAGTTCACTGACACGACGCTCTTTTGCGAAGGCGGACCGCCAGTAAAATGCCACAAAATGGTGTTGGCTGCCTGTTCGTCTTACTTCCAATCCGTATTTGCCGAAGTACCCGGCAAGCATTCCGCAGTAGTGCTGAAAGACGTTGGCCACGCTGAAATGAAAGCCATTCTTGACTACATGTACAAAGGCGAGGTGAACATCGCGCACGATCAGCTCGCTGCCCTGCTCAAAGTTGCTGAAATGCTCAAGGTCAAGGGACTGGTACAGGACAATTCGTACCATTCGCCAGCCGCCACAGCCGCCGTCGATGAAGATCGCAACATAATCAGCACCTCGTCGCCAAACCACGTGTCGCCCGACGGCAACACTAGTGCACCCAAAGATTTAGCTATCAACATCAATAACAACAACAATGAGCACAACGGTTCCCCGCCACACAGCACAGGAATCAATCATCAGTCTTCATTCTACAACAAAAATTACTACGGAAAGTCGCCACCGTCGCCACCTCTGTCGGAGCACAGAGCCGGAAGGAGCAACGTACCTATGTGGCCTATACCCGCACTGCAAATGTCCTCGACGCCTGTCACCAACGCCATGTTTGGCGGAACCTATGACACTATGGTAGCTGGATATCCTGGTATGTCACCGTTGCGCCGCAAAAAGTTATCCAGTATGTTAATGGGTCGTGACACTCCAATACTCAGAACTGTTCTTGGCCAAGGCCAAGCTGATTCTTCTCAGCAACTTCCTCCTGCAATGTACAACTCTGAAGCTATGGAACATCATAGACCACAGTCCAATGGGTCGGAACATAGCAGTCAGTTTTCAAAGGTAATTGATTAAAATTATTTTCTGTGTAATTTATTACTTATATACAATTTTTTGTAGATCAAAATGGAAGGATCAGAACCTCATTCGCCATACCCTGCTGATATGTCAATGAATGAAGATGAAGAAATTATGAGAGTAAGTTTATTTCTTGAATTAACATTCGAAATCATAAAAACAATATCATTTATTAAATAAACATCTTGTACTTCAAAGCTCATAACTCGTTCTGTCTTTAAGGTTTTATACATTTAAATATTAACAACATTACATTATTAGAAAGGTATTTTGGTAAAAATTTAGTATAAATTTGTTTAAAAGTTTCTCGTATAATTTTAGTATTTTCATTTGCCATACATACAACATGAAAATGACAAAAAATAGTTATGTGCTAAAAGTAATTGATGAGTTTTTTTTAAGTAATTAAGTGTTATTAAAAGTATATTCCATAATTATTTTCATGCATAATATTTTAGTTATAGATAATAGTGCACTTATTAAAAAATCATTTATTCATAATTTTAATTTTTTGTACAAACATAGAAATGTCAAAATTAGATAATTTTTCGAAATCATGTTTTTTCTTTTTTTGTTACACTAATTAAATTTCTAACAAAAAAATATATTTCTGTACAAATTGTTATTTTTTTTATTAATGGCGTTCATTATATTTATATGAAACAATTTTTCAGGCTGGAAAAATGAACAATTCAACTTCACCTCAGTCAATGTACGGTGATTCAAAAGGTAATCAAATTAGGATTAATATATTTTAAAGAGACATTTGTTTAAATTTCCATAATTATGTTAGTTTTTGTTTTTAGAACATTATTATAATTTTATTAAAATATTTTGCTTTTCATTAGGTGGCATAGTGACTCCAGGAATTGCTACATACGTCCCGTCTCATAAACCTGAATGGAAACGATACAAGCAATATACCAGACAAGACATTATGTCTGCTATAGATGCTGTTCGAACAGGCATGAGTGCTTTACAAGCTTCTAGAAAATTTGGTGTACCTTCACGAACCCTTTATGATAAAGTGAAAAAGCTTGGAATAACTACGAGTCGTCCCTTTCGCAGGTCTGGAGTGAATAATGGTAATTTAGGTTTTCCTTATGGACTGGGACCAGGCACTAGTGGTGTTATGTTCCCAGGTCAGATGTCTGGACCTGAAGATGAATCTGGTCATTCTTCGGTTATGGAACATGCTACGGCTGGTTTCTTACATCATGCTCTTGGTTTATCAGGAGTTTCCATAAAATCATCTGATCATGAAACATCAAACAATGGACATTCGCCTCGTTCTGAACGAATGGATGATGCTGGTTCACCTTGCAGTCCAGAACTTATCAAATATACTGGGCATAGAGAGGATACACGATCACCAACACCTACAGACAATGATGATCAAGCTCAGGATTTATCTGTGTCTCGTAAGTCAGAATCTTCTATACAAGCAACACCTACGTCAAGAGTTATCATGGCACCTATTAGTCAAACACCATCTGTGCCTATGTTAGCTGCTGGTAATGACGATCGGGACTGAATTTGTGGTTAAGCTCTTTAGGGAAGTATGTGCAATCCAAATTCAATTGTTGAATTTTACTGAACCCCAAATTATATCTAGGCATTATGATGATGTTGCCTAGCCCTTCTTTAGCTTTAGACTTATTGTCCAAAACAAGCTTTGACTTATAGAGAAATACCAGGGTTACTTAGTGCACTAATATTATTGTTTGTTTGTTATGAAAATTTTTTTATGATGAAACTGTTGTAATATTTTAGTTGACACTTAAAAATTATTAACTTAATTTTCAACCAGTCAAACTTAAAAAATGTTGAGTAAAATTTCAGTACATAATACATTCTATCAAAAAGTTGTATTCATATATATAATTTCAAGTCTGAATTTAAAAATCAAAAAAATTTCAAGTAGCCTGTTAAGTTGTTATTTGTTAGTTAAGCTTGGCTTCAAGTGTACACTAACAGTACCACTTAAATTATCATCTGCTCAATTATTGTTATTATAGAGTTCCTCTTAAAAGCCTACCTATCATGTAGGTACCGTTGTAAATACCTCAATAGTTAAATTTTATTCTCTATATGTTCACTTAAATGATTCCCTCCATTTATTATAATTTTATTTTTCACAAAATAGATATCTCAAACCGCATAAGACTGCTACTTGTTAAAATATTTTGTAGTTAAGTAGTACTAATATATGGTATAAAAATTTATTTAGTTAATTAACAAAAGGAGACTGTTTTTATGTTTTAATAATCTTCACTGGTACCTCACAATAATATACAATTAATGTGTTCATACAGTTCTATGTCAATATGTTAAATTATCACTGTTAAAAGATTTATTATATTTAATGCTGTGTATTAAAAATGCAAATAATGTGTTCATTAGTTTTAGCAAAACCATACCGGGGCCAATATTAACAATCAATTACATTTCACATAGTTAAATAATAAGACTGAGTAGCTTAATTTAAAAAGAACTGATTTCTAAACTGACTGGTTTATTATAAACATTCTCAACTTTGTTATTAACGCTATTTAGTAAATATGTTATAAATGAAATAGACAAAGTAGAGAATTCAAGACTGAGTTGATTTTCGTTATTAAATAAAAAAAAAAAGAACCTTTACTTGTGAATAGAATGTATTTATTATATTATTATTTTAGTTTCATTTCATTTATAAGTATATAATAGATCTATCAAAAATATTTAATTCTAGTACGAATTTACTTGACTGGGCGTAATGCAATTTAAACATGTTTGGATTTGTTGTTTAATAATTATTTCACATGTCCATGTTTTATGCCAAACTGTTACACTATTTTTGTTAGAATATCCTAAGTTATTATAATTTATTATTTATCAATATAAAAAGTAGATAGTCTAGTTAATAATTATTTAATAGCTAAAACTGTTGAAATATTTTCTTATGTAAAATTACTTCTTCATTATTTTGATTTAATTGATTTTCTCTTACATTTAAATGCAAACTAAAATTATTCTTTCAACTTAATTAAAGTAGTATTTTCTTTAAATCATTGAGTATTTTTTTTTATTATTCTATTATTTTGGGTTTCATGAAGGGTATTTATCGAAATAATGATAAAAATTAAAAATATGTTGTTAAAAATATATTTACTTATATTTATATATTTATGTATACTATTATTATTTTTATTTTATATTGACAATTTTTGTTCAATTATTTTGGTTATTGCAAAAAATTTTGGTTTGTGTTTTTGTTTAATTATCTTGAAATTTCTTTAGGGCTGTACTATTCTATTATAAAAAAAATTGTTTTTAAAAATTACTAAAAAAAAAATTAAATTTATAAATTAAAATAAATCTAATACTTGAGCTTGAAAATCTATATTTGTGGTTGAATATGGTTGTAATATTAAGTATTTAGGTATATTTACATTTGTATTAAAAGTGCAGGTGCAATTTTAAGAAAAAATAAATGATTTTCTATTAAAATAAGGCATGTTTTTGTAGTTAGGGTATATTTATTAATTTAATTATTTTAATTAATTATGTAAATTAAAATATGGTTATTTTTTCATCTTTTTTGATTAATTTTTTTTGTAGAGAAATTGTTTATTAAGTGTAAAAATTTAGTATATTATTATATAATATTTTATGAATACTTTAATAATATTTTATCTCATTCATTAGATGTGCTTATTTTTCTTACATTGTTTTGTTACATCATACAAATTATTATCATGTATTAATTATTTATTTTTTATTATAAGACTGAATATTGTTCTAAGTTTGCATAACATAATTTATCAAACATGTTTTATTTCTCTTAAATTTTTGTAAAAAAATTATTATAATACTTATTTGGTGTATTTCATACATTTTATATATTTTAGTATTTCTAGTTGCTAGTAAGATATAAAATACCAAAGTAGTTATTCTTCATAGATATGTTAACTACTATACTGAAATTAAAAAATAAATATATAATGGAAAACTATTAAACTTTCTTGAAAGATTATTATAAAAGAAAACCGTGTTTTAAAATTTGTTTAAAATAATTTCAGAACTTTTTCTTATGGTTAAAATTATGATGAAAGATAATGGTTTAACTAAAAAATTTACATTTCTTTTGCTTAACCCAGTAAAAAAACACAAAATAAATTCCGAGATAATATTAATGGGAGAAAGTGATATCTCTTAACAAAAAATTCCAACTTAGCAATTATATGTGTCATAAATAAAAAAAGTTTTCAATTTTAAAATTATTATCTTTCAAATGACTTCTACAATTTTGTATCTACAGTGTAGAATCTATACCACCTCTGTAATACATATTAGTTTCGCTTCTAAATAAATTGTTTGCATTCCTTTTTCAGTTGACGAAACAGTAAAACCGATATATTTAAATAAAAAGTAAATTTTTCTTCAATTTGGTTTAATTTAAAGTCAGGATATTTGATAATAATATTGATTTAGATTGTCTTCGATTATAAGATTGTCAGTGTTGCAAAGTATTTGACATAATCTTGATCAATTAATAAAATTATTGAATTATTATAATGTTATTATGGTGACTTAGGAATTATATGACATCCGTATACTTATTAAATTTTACTATCAATGGAATATAAAAAAATATTTTTTTCATAAATTTAACCCTTAACCTTAAAAAAAAAATTAATTTTTTTAACTTAAATTTTGAAAATGTTCCGGAAGGTCTGACACTTTTATATATATCTTAAATTAAAGCTAATGTAATATGCTTTATCATGAAAAAAAAAAATTTCTTACTTTATCTTATCTTCATGGTGAAAATGGTTACCGAATGCTATTTTTGTGTGAAAATTTTCGATTTTATTTTTTACATTTTTAACTTTATAATGCTATAACTTTTTGAAAGATGTATGGATCAATATAATTCTTTTTTATGTAGATGCATGATGTCTTTACCTATCATTTGGTATATTTTTTTTAGAAATCTGACTTTTTACCTGCCTACAGGGGGGGATTCAAAATGACAAATTTTTCACAAAAAATTGACTTTTTCAACTTAAATTTTGAAAGTGTTCCGGAAAGTCTGACACTTTTATATATATATTAAATTAAAGCTAATGTAATGTTCTTTATTATGTAAAAAAAAAATTTCGGACTTTATTTTGTCTTCACGGTGAAAATGGTTACCGAATGCTATTATTGTGTGAAAATTCTCGATTTTATTTTTTACATTTTTAACTTTATAATGCTATAACTTATTGAAAAGTGTATTGATCAATATAATTTTTTTATGAGAAATAATAATTTTTAATAATCCCTTTTTCATTCGATATACATTATCTTAATCAGGATATTAATAAGGAACTAGCAGTTTATGAAGCTTTTGAAATAATCCACCAATTTTTTAAAATTAAACACTATCTAAAGATTTGCATCGAAGCGTTTTTTTTTTGATAGTGATTTTAATCACTGTCAGATATCATTATACTTAATCCAACTATGCCACGTCACCACTGTGCCGCGACCCCACTGTGCTGGGTTTTTTTTGTTAAAAGTGTAACACTGGTTTTTTACTAATTATTAAAAAATTAGTATCAATAAAGAGGCGATGGAAAAAATTTAATTGCAGATTTAAAATCGATGTGAAAATGGATTTAGAAAAATATATTTTTGATTCTGATTAAAATTTCTTGTAGACCAATGTATTCATAATTAACAAAAAATTATTTTCTAAAAAGAATTTAATCACTCTCAGATATCATTTATACTTGTCCCGACATTGCCACGTCTACACTGTACCGCAACCTCACTACACTGAGGTTTTTTTCATTTTATAATAATTAATTCATTTATAGTAATTTATTTTGCTTGTAAAATTTGTAATTAACTTACTTAAAATTTATTTCTCTTTTTATTTCATATTTATTTGTTTAATAATTCATTATTTAATTAATTTAGTTTATATATTTTTTAGTAGATGGTTATAATATATTTTGAATCATCATGCAACTTATATGTTTTATATTTGTCATTCGTTATATTTTATTTTTCTAATATTTGATGATTAATTCATATTTATGTTTATTAATTATTAGGGTTATACCAAAACGTTATATAGTTAAATTTAACAACTTCATCTATTTTGTTATAGTTGAATTTTTCTAATAAATTTATTTGGATTGTCTACGTATAAGTAGACCATATGTTTATGGTTTATAGTTTAACACGTACAACAAAATGTACGAGCGCCTAAATATATTTTTCTCCCACCCTAAAAAATATATTCATAATGTTACATAAACAATTTTTTAGCTTCGATGCGAAGCTGAGAAGGTATTAGTTTTACTAAGATGTGTTTTTTTTTTTTTGTGTCTGTTACCACTT